CTAGTTCATCATGTATCATAGCATTCAATCCCTCGTCAATGAAAATGTCACCTGGATACGGCATTCCAGGAAATTCCTTTAAGCTTTTTCCATGAGATCGTAATGTAATCTCAATTTCTTTCAAGGCGTGCACCTTCATTTCATCCTCAGATACAATATAATCTGTCAAGTAACATTAATAAATTAAAATGATAAATATAAAATTTAGAAATGTGAATATCATAGGGATGAAAAATTGTTATTAAGTAATAGGTCTATAATTTAAACAATTAATCAGTTCATGAAGAAAATACCTTCATTCCTATACAACCATTTGAGTTTGGCGGGTATATCTTCCGTGTAACAGTCCCAAGTCTCGTTCCATACATGATTAGGGTCCGATACAGTGTCATTTTCTAATAATTATGCAAACACATTTCTGCAGTAATTAGATGATCCCCATGTATAACCCTGCCGTATACAGTCTATGTATTCTTTATCATCATCAAGTAAATCTCTTGCAAAGCAAGTTTCCTTGAAGGATAAATGTTCTGTCCCCTCGAATGTCAATATATCTTCATAACATGTTAGTCCTTTGACTATGTTAAGTAGCACTCTTAGATAATAAGGTTCACCAGCAGCTATAGGGACTCCATAGATTCTACTGATAGCTGAACCTCTCTGTCTTGGCTTCCACATTTTTCTTTTCTTTTCCATACAAAATATTTAGGAAACTGTAGGTATGTAAGCTCTCCAGCTTCAGGGTAAATAGAGTTAGCTTCCAACCAAGCAGTAAACATTGAATGTCTGTTAGAAGCTCTGGTGACAACAGCCTCTACAGTTTGATCTTCATCATACACAACACTGTGTTGACCAGGCATATGGAAGCTGAGACGTTCTACATGATGCGACCTGTAATGTATTGGAAACTCGAACATACGCCATGCAGCTTCACAACCTGACAAATATCGTCCTTCATACCAATCTTTAACTTCATCTTTTGGACCTTTATCCAATTTTTCACTGACTACTTCACCATTTATAGTGTATTTGAAAGAAACTCTATCAGAACCCTTATTAAGGTATTTGAACAGATATTTTATAGCTCCTGTTTGATTACACCATTCAACATTTAAGTGTGCATGATACATGACAGTCAGATATGGGTTATAACCAACAACCCATCTGTTGTCTATGGTCGCACCATCTTTCTCAAATGTTCGACCATCATTCCTTCTCCTGTAATCTGGGAAACCATCATCATCTATGCTGGTAGTCTCTTTGAACTTTTTGGGGAACTTTTTTGAACATGTCTTTTTAACCATGCAAGGACTATAAGGGAAATCATCACCACATGGACCATGAATCATCATCTCAAATACAATACTGTATAGAACGGGATCTTTATCCTTATTAGGGAGCTCTGCACATATGAAATTATCAATATCTTCTGGTTTTGTTAGTTTGTCATAACGATGCAACCACACAACTATATGTGCCTGTGGGAGACCTCTTTTTTGATACTCTACGGTATAGACAGTTGTAAAGTATAAGTTCAGTGTCCATCAGGCTGTACTTCTCATATAAAATAAATTTTAACAGCAGGAATCATCATAAATTAAATCAATATATTAAAATACCTGCTTCTTGTCTGCCAAATATCTTTTTTGATTTAATCTCTTTCATCAGATAGTCAAGTTTCATCATAAAAACCCTAGAAACAATATCTAGTCTATCTTCAGGCCTTAGACCTTTTTTATTGCAGTATCTGATTATCTCTGGCCACTTGATATTGCATGTGAAAGTTAAGAAAACATCAGGATAACCATAGGTCTTAACTACTGCCATTGCATCAATGTAATTCTCCCTTTTCCATCTGTCACCACCTGTGAATGAAGACGCTATCACAACCCTCCCAACCTCAAAAGCATCCGAATTTCCAGTTTTCAATGATTTTTGCATGTTTTCATACGTTTCACATCTGAGATTTCTTTGATTCTTTCTAATCCAGCATATCCTTCCTGATTCAACTGCACTATAACCATCAACCAGAAACTGTTGAAAAAGTCTTCGAGCATATAACAACATTGAACCATCTTCATCTTTATCCTGTATACGGTATGCAAACCATTCCCGAATACTCATCCATTTACGTGGTCCTTTACTCTGTTCATCCAATCCTTCAGTTTCATTTTCTTCTTCTGGGCGATCTCCATCATCATCTGGATGAGCATCTGGATCTCCATGTCTGATATTGATTCGGAAACCATCTTCACAATATGGAAAAATTAAAGGATATTGAAGTGAAATGTAGGAAGGATGTAATTCATTAATGCGCTGAAGTTCACCAGACTTATATTGAACAATGATGTCTCTTGTTCAGTTTCGTTTCCTTCATCTCCTGGTAGTATAGCTGCGACTTCATCAACGGTTGATAGATTTTGTGTTCTGCCACCCGTGTATCTATTTGAAATAAGTTTCAATCTGATTTCAGCCGAATAGCCTGCCTGAAGAGTATCATGTACCTTCCTGTATGTTTTGACCAACACATTGTGTTCATCCATCACATCCTTTATGTCACTTACAATATGTGAATCAAGTTGATGTTTTTGTGATTGAGTTCTTCCTGAACTGCAGTTACATTGAAGCAGTAACTTTTAATCAGAATTTGTAAAAGAATAAGTGTTGTAAAAACATAATAGTAAAAAGCTTAAAAGTATTTTTGCAGTATTTGAATATCAAAACTATACCTTAAAGCTCCAATCCTGTTATTGACTTCATTTTGAGTATCATAAATATATAACTGAGAAAACTTTGGTCTCAAATCATCTTCTGGAAGTAGACTACCCATGCGGTGGCTGTTATGTCCTTGCATTTTGAATAAATATGGTGCACGACCATCATTGATTGAATTTACAATGTTACCACCCATTATGATGTGAACGTGAACATATTATTATATGCTCGGATATTTTCCAAAAAGTGTCTACTCTTTGCATCATTAGACATGAATAATCTCTTTAGTGGAGCAGGTGGTTCTTGAAGTAAAGGAAGGTGTATTTGTCCTTTTCTGCAACATATAGAGAATTTAGGACATGACTCTCTTCTTTGTTTGTTTGCCCTTTCTGCGTACCACATATTAGCACCGCAGTATTCACATACATATGTTGGATATCCCAAGTCATAGTATTCTGAAAAAAAAAAGCGTAATACAGTTAAATACAAATAAATAGAAAATCTGAGGTCTTTAATTTTTTTGGAATATTGTACCTGTATTTATGTATGATATTCTTTTCTGAGTAACTTTGCATTTCCCAGGGCGCAACATGTTTTTCCTTCTGTTGGGAGTGCTTTCTTGGGTAGTTTGTGTTCTTCCATAAGGCACAGTATCAAATGCATTTATGATGGCTACATATATCCGGCATTCAAAATGGAGGATAACATTTAAGGTATGATTCAAAATTAAATCATATTATTAAAAGAAAACTAATTAAACGTATTTTTTTAATTTGATGAGTTAGAATCTCCAATATTTGTTGTGCTTTGCAAACCTTTCTTTGTTATTTGACTTTTATCATATGTGACAACTCCACCCCTTAATACTGGTGGTATCTCTGTGACTGTTTTCCCTTTCTTTTTGTCTAATTTTCGCTTTCTTTTCGATCTCGAATGCTTAGAAGTACCTAATAAAATCAACATAGATCATAATAACTCTGGAAATCCATATTACAAACAATGTAAAAAAAACTAATATATAAATAATAACATACCTTTCAAACCTCCACTGTTTGATATTTCTGACAATTCAGATACTGGTAGAGACTGGCTGACCATATCTTTTTTCAATCTGATATGGTGTAATATTTGTTTTCTATGATTCCTTGCAATCTTAGCAAAAACCGATTTAATGTTATTGGTTGATAACGAATTGAAAACAACAATACCTTCACTTTTTAGCATTTTGATCAACCTGATCTGGGATAATATTATCATTTTTCTCATCCTTGCAGTCTTAGAAGCAATACGACAGACTTTAGTTTGTTTTGTAACCAGATTGACACTTCGCTTTGGCTTTGGTTTATATGTTGACCGTGGAAATTTTGATTTTTTTTACTGTGTAAGATCTGTTTTTTGAACAATCTGGCTTCTTTTGCTTGAACATTCACCATTTTGCCTTCTTTCTAGGTTTCAGGCTTTGAATCCAGAAAAATTAAATTAGGAGATGTTACTAATACAAACTCAGAAAAGCAATCAGCTTTTATAATTGTAATATATGTGAAAAGTTTTTTAAAATCTTATCATAATATTCGATAAGATGGAACAAAATCATTGTAGATAATTATAGTAATAATTATATATACTATAATAATAATGATGTTTATCAATTATAAATATTTTCTATCAAATCATGAAGATATCAAATAACTTATGCTATATATGATAATAATATAAGGATAGTAATATATGTTCTTTTACCTTTTTTTTTTTTGAAAAAAAAAAACATATGATCTTTTGAATTGTTTATTTGTATTTACAAATATTTACATAAATAATAATAGTTTTGGTATATTATTAATTTGTATTTTCAAAAGGGTTACCAGAATATATGTATATATATATATTCTGTAGTTGTATTAAGTAACTAATATTGTTGGATGACATAAAAACTCATACCGTAAAATGGTAAATAACCTTATATAACGACCAAAGGAAAAATTATTACTAGTTGAAATAAAGTCAAAACCATTGACAGAATCCTTAAATAACTTCAATGTAAACAAATAGTACATAACAATGTTCTTAAAAATTCATAAAACACACATTCCGAAAACTAAATTTATAGAACTTCGAGTGTTAAATGTCCCTTGTTAGCTGCCTTGCGAGCATCTATACGAAAGCCCAATGTTATACCAACTCGAATTTTCATTATGCTCATCATACACTCGAGATCTCCTTCAATAACAAAACGATGCAGGTTGTCTGATGTTAAAATACGTTGCATGCGTATGACAGGAACTCCATCATAGTACAAAATAGCACTTAATGAATCTTCTACATTCAACCTCTTGATCATATGCTATGGTATTTCCTGCTCCAGCACATAAATTTAAAAAATTCTTATATTTTTCCATAACATAAAATGGGATAATATTAAGTATGGAACTGGGATTTAGGAAATGAAATATAAACCACTAAAGTTATAATGTTTTGGTCTTACCAATCTACCACGTTGAATTTGGGTGTTATTCATAATTGCAGAAAACGTATTCTGATCTCCATTGCTACGAAGGTAGGCAACTGAATCAATCTCACCTAAACAAAAATGAGTATATAAATGCTAAAATGCATGTAAGAAAATATTTTTCTGTAAATAACAATGTAACCTTTATTGAACTTAACTCACCATCAGATGTATCTGAATCTTCACGCATCAGATTACAATAGTAACCTTTATTGTCAAAAATTCGCAAATGGAAATTTAAATTTCCAGTGTAAATAAAAATGACATTGATACATTTAAGATGATTAAAGTAATAGTCAACAAACTCTTCCCATTTAGGGCCTTCAAAACCTGCTGCTTCATTCTCCTCCCTGTAGACCATGAATTCCCAGTTGTATTGCTTAACATCCACGGCCTTTGCTATGTTATGTTCTGAAGGCCAATGTGTCCCAGAAAAGAACCGTTTGTCAACAACCTACATAATATGATCAGATAATAATAATATGAGTTATCAAGTCTGATAATTAGTTGGGCTTTTTCTGAATGTAAACTCTTTTTAATAAATGAGAAAAACACTATTTTTTCATAATTAAAACTTACAGCACGGTTCAATGAGTTCTCATCTAATTTCATGAGGAAGCGGTTGCCAATGTGTAAATTCAGATCTGATTGAAGTCGTAGACATCCATCATAAGAAAAATGGAATAATTGAATGAAATTACCAGATAACTGATATACAACATGTACCTTTGATGTGTGCGAAATACCAATCTCTGTGAGAAATTCTTTTAAGTGCATATCCATACAACTGACATCTCCTTTTCTTATTAATATGAATATTAACAAACACCGTACGGATTCCTGGAGCATCAATTTTGATCTACTTTCCAGCATGTCTGATAATTGAAGTTAAGTTACTGCTAAGTATCTGTTAATTTGCAGAGAACATGTTATATAAGAAAAACCTTAATATATAGAACGAAAATCATCACATGAACTTATTTTAAAACATACCAATCCCTTTGTTTAGAAGTCAACTGGAACTACAATCAATTATTCATATGCCTGCTCCATCTTGTCTTAACACTGGAAATTTGATCTAAAATTTGATTGATAACACCAGGACCAAAGCATATATTGGTTCATGGTGTGCCTTCACGTTATCTGCTTTTGGCCTGTTTATAACCCTTGAAGAATAGATGGGAGATAAAATTTTAGTTTCATTTATACAACTCGTGGATAGTTCTGGAGAATAAGAAGACTTTTCATTAGACTGAAATTGTAAGTGGGAAGTTACCAAATTTTTACTGATGCTTGTTGAAATATCCCATAAAATTAGGAGAATATAATAAATTTATTATTTTAAAATATTGAAACAGGTTAGCAGAATCCTGTTAAAAATGAATGTCTTCGTATTAATAAAGTAAATCCAATGTATTCTATTAATAAAGTAAATCTAATGTATTCTATTTTTATTACAAACGTCCAAATCCTAATAATTTATTATATATATGGATAATTAGTATTCTGAAACAATGTTTTTTATTTATTGATGATACTTCAGTTATCTTGGTATAGTCATTATTTGTTGTTCAGTTATTTGAAGATTGGAAAAAACACTAAATGTAAGATAACTTTTATATTATGTGGTGAAACATAATTAACCAAACACCAATATTGAAATCATCTATCAATTACATACATTGCAAAAAAACTTAATAACACTACTTCTTGGCTGGATGCTATCCCTATCCAAATGGAATTAAAAGAGGTTTCCTGTTGTCATGGCATTGTCAGTGAGCAACTTCTCCCAGTCTCCCGCCATTTTTAATTGACAAACTCTTTTTCCAATGAACCTTTTGTCATAAGCCTGTTGAAGTTTCATACGATAAGGTCCTGCCATAGTAAGTATTTCAGCGGTTCTTTTTAAAACTATATTCTTGGGCCGCTTCCAAAAAGTTTACAGGAACAGTCTGCGTAAATTTTAAAAACACAAATTATTGGTCATAAAAGAACAACTACATTTGAAGAGAGCGCCAGCCATAAAATATCTTATAATAGCTTTTTTTTTGCAATGGTTTTTAAAAAAATGGTTTTGAAGCAGTCTTCCTCTTTGTCAGTTACAGAGCCTGGTATTTCAACTCCATTAGCTCTGGAAAAAAGAATAGTGAAACTCATATTTCCATCGTACTGTAAAACTGCAGTTGTAGCTTCCTCCAAAACATCTGCATGATCTGATAACATTTTCTTCCATTCAGATCCACCAAGAAAAATTCTGCTTTCATATAATCCTTCTGTATAATCAATATCTATTGTTATCCTTCTTTATTTTTTCATGCATTAAATTGAGTCTTCCTTCAACGGCATCACAGCTTTTTGGCACGCTTATTGGGTTTTGATTTGACACTCTCCTCACCGGCACTTGCAGGTAGCCTGTTCTTTGAGGGAGGACTCTCTGCAATGTCATCACCTGGAAGTCCCATGTCAGTATGATCAGTGCAGGAAATGGCAGTCTGTGTTTACAGGCAAATGTAAGTGTTGGAAAATCTGTTTATTGCACAAATTTACATGAACTTTAAATCATAAATCTCACATATTCATTAGAAGTTGTGATATATAACTTTAAAATACCTTTGCAGTACTGCCCTGATTAGTTGTTAAGGTTTGATAGTATTCTGCACTCATTTCAGGATCAATGTCTTGAAATGTAATTGTATAAAGTTGATTATATAGCATCACTGATCTAAAACAAAATATTGGCAAAAAGGAAATATAAATGATTGTGTGTATAAAGTAGCCAACTTACTTGATCTTCAGCAACATCATCTAGATATTTCTTAATAATGTCTGCCTCTGTAGTAAGCCTAGCAACTTAAAACAAAATATTGATAACATTTTCTTCCATTCAGATCCACCAAGAACAATTCTGCTTTCATGTAATCCTTCTGTATAATCAATATCTATTCGTCGTAATCAATATGCTTCTTCATGCACATTAATAGAAAACATTACTTAAAACCCATGAAAACATCATTATTATGAATTTGGTGTGGAAAACCAATCAACTTCATAAGTAAAACAAAAGGCAATTTCATATAAAATAAATATTTAAAATTCTACACCAATATAATGGTGAAAACGAAGTTCAGAAAATATAAATAATGTTTACTGATTGGGAAAAAAAATTCAGATGACGAAACACAAACACAAAGTAAGGTGTTTCTTTATTTTTTCATGCATTAAATTGAGTCTTCCTTCAACGGCATCACAGCTTTTTGACACGCTTGTTGGGTTTTGATTTGACACTCTCCTCACCGGCACTTGCAGGTAGCTTATTCTTTGAGGGAGGACTCTCTGCAATGTCATCGCCTGGAAGTCCCATGTCAGTATGATCAGTGCAAGAGACGGCAGTCTGTGTTTACAGGCAAATGTAAGTGTTGGAAAATCTATTTATTGCACAAATTTACATGAACTTTAAATCATAAATCTCACATATTCATTAGAATTTGTGATATATAACTTTAAAATACCTTTGCAGTACTGTCCTGATTAGGTGTTAAGTTTTGATAGTTTTATAGCATCACTGCTTTAAAACAAACTATTGCCAAAGGAAATATAAATGATTGTGTGTATAAAGTAGCCAACTTACTTGATCTTCAGCAACATCATCTAGATATTTCTTAATAATGTCTGCCTCTGTAGTAAGCCTAGCAATTGATATCTCATTGTTACTGTTACGTATGTTGAAATTAGATACATCCAGCCTGAAAAGACATTTCTTCCCAATGATTTCATTAAGTATTTTAGGATAGTCCTTCCCCTCCTGTAACATAGATAAGTCATATTAGTTATTCCATTAATCTTTTTTTGAAGAAAAAATGAGACTCAATTTAAAATACCTTCTGACCTAATTCACCAGCAGTCTTGTTGATGAAATTGTAAACCATCCTGTCCCATAGGGTTACAATTCTGCTACCAGATGCATCCCTGACATATACCTGTAACTTGAACCTGCCCATATTACCATACACAAAGCATATAACTGTTGAGAAACTAAAACTGTAATATATTACCAAAAATTTCAAATTGATAAATTAACAGTATACAAAAATAAATCCATTACTTTGGTCCAACAGTAGAAACAGGACGATGGTTACCACACATCCACTTCTTCTCAAAACTTATCTTCTTTTGGGCATCAACATTCCTCCCTCTTAGTGATTGGACAACCTGTTTTTCAACATTAGGCTTCTTACCTCTGAGTACTCGATTTCCTCAACCTTTTTATTGCACTCTTTGCAACCTATGTATGACCAATCATATTCTGTTGCTAAATCAGTTATCTTTGCAAAGACAACAACATAGGCAGCCCAACAGAATTAAAAGAAATCAACATTAATTGTAATCCAAACAAAAGTATTAATAATGGATTGACATAGCAAATTAGTACGATTTATGATACCCCATCTAGTTGATCTATGTCAGCCAATGACAGCAGGTTTGCGCCACTTATGAAATCTTCATAAGTAGTGTATCCAGATATAGAGGACATCATCGAAATTTTGTGAATGCTTGCTTGTTTGATCTCATCGTCGAAGGCACTTATTGGACATAAAAAGTATTAAATTGTAATGTGTTTATCATAATTCATAAATTGTTGTACAATATATAATATTAAATATACCTGTCTTTATATTCAAATATCTCAGGCATGGTCATGTCATCAAGATAAATCTTTCCATTCAACAGATTTGTAGTAACAGATGCTTTTGTTGTCCATTTGATGGTGATAAAATATAAGTACTAAACTTTGTAAATTGAAAGTGATAACTGGAAAATATGTATTAAGGGCTAATATACTTACAGTAGTACTTCTTGCACTTTACATACTGTACAATAAGCACAACAGGAAAAGTGGGGATTGAGTCCATGTATTCCAAAACTTTGTCAGCATGTTCACCCATAAGGTTACTTTCAGCCTGTCAGCCCTTTTTTCATACATAAACAATCTTCATTATTACCAATGTTTAAACATTATATAAACATTGTTTTAGCTGTAATAAATGTATAAAACATATATACCTTTCATCTTCAAGTTCAACAGACATCCTTTTTTTTCCGTAGTCAACAATAGGATCACTGTATGCAATTATGTGCCCTCTCAGATCTGCATAAATGTTTAAAATTGCAAATTAAAAATTTTAAGTACATATGAATATGCAGACCGATAGAGTCTTAAACAAATAATGAAGTAATGTAAAAACTATGGAGCTTTTACCAAAACAATAATCAAAATTAGCCACAAAATTTGTAACTTCTGCAAAAGGTGTGAACTCAAAAACGTGATTTGGAATGTCAAAATCAAAAACAGCTTCAATCAATGTATTTGATTCGAACACGATTTTGTCTTCGTGTTTAGCACATCGAAAACCACCAGCAATGTTCAGTCCATGATCAAATCATGACAGCCTTCTTACAGAACCTTCTTTTAAGATATCCTGAAAATCTTTCACATTGCGGCCCGGAACAGTAGCCTGAATCTTACCACCCTGTATACAACAAAATGATAAGAACAAAAAATAATTTCATTGTTTATTCTATAATTTAAATGAATTATAAAACGAAACATGTAAGAAACCTGAGCATCAATCAAAGTCATCTCCATCGATTTAATTTTGCTGTTCTTGGAAGACTCGGGTACTTTCCATAACGTCATAATCCGGGCAACAATGAAGAAATGTATGTTTTTTGTATCAATCAGTCCATTTATGTCAGCAATGTATCTTTGAGCTGCAGTTATGGGAACAGATGCAGCATTAGTTTGAACTACAAATATGAGAACAGATGCAGCAACTGCTTGATTTGGGAAGGGACTGATCAGGGCAGATGATTCAGCATGATTGGTAATCAAAACAGTGTTGGGACTGGAAGGACCAGATACTTCGACATGATTGGTTGGCAGCGAAAAACTGTTGACAACATTACCAACAGTTTCATTACAACCTTCATCGACAAAGGAAGGCTGAACAACATGCTGGTTTGAGTTCTGTTCTGAGGCCATGGAAACAACAAATTCAAAAATGAACTTTTGAAGTATAAACTGTGAAGCTTTGCTAAATGATGGTGTTTTAAATCTTTTGATGGCTATAGAACCATTTATACAGGTATTTCACTGATGATTCGACCATTCTTAAATGTTTTGATTTTTGAGATGTCATTGAAGTTGTTATGAAAGATATACACAGAATTGATAATAAGAGATATGGATGGATCAGTTTTTGTGATTTGCATTTAAAAATGTGTATTTTATCCCATTTGGTCTCTGTTTAATGTTGATTGACAAAATAATGATAGATAGATAAATCATCATCAATGTGAATAGAATTATCATATATATGTGATACAAATCTGAATTTGATATATATGATCCTATTTTCTCGTTTGAATTACAGGGACAGATGATTCTCAAAACTAATTTTGAGGCAGATGATTCTTTGGGATAAGATTATAGAGGTAGATGATTCTCAAAGCTCAGAGATTGGTGATTTCAGGGAGTCGTATATATATTGTATTGTATTGATTACAGTGCTGGAAATTAGGCTTCTCACCGAGTAAACATAGGAAAAAAAATTTGTGCTGGAAATTAGGCTTCTGACCGAGTGAATTTGATATATATGGTCCTGTTTTCTCATTTGAATTACAGGGACAGATGATTCTCAAAACTAATTTTGAGGGAGATGATTCTTTGGGATAAGAGTATAGAGGTAGATGATTGTCAAAGCTCAGAGATTGGTGATTTCAGGGAGTCGTATATATATTGTATTGTTTTGATGATTACAGTGCTAGAAATTAGGCTTCTCACCGAGTAAACATAGGAAAAAAAAAATTTGTGCTGGAAATTAGGCTTCTGACCGAGTGAACATAGGAAAAAAAATTTTGCAACTCATTGGTGAAGCCACGTGTCCTAAGTTTGTAGCTTCAGTTTTGTACTGTAAATGATTTTGGAGGAAAAATTTTTTTTGTGGTGCTGACATGTGTACAAAATGTTTGTTGCTTTAAGTAAGTACACTAGATGAAGAGAAGACCAATTTGTGAGATTATGGAGAGAATCAATGTTTCTCCTCAATATTTGAACCCAATAAATAAATAAAAACATGTGTTCCTTCTTTGTCATTGGATGGGTGTTCATGCCTTCGTGGTCAACATGAATGATTACTCTGTTCACTGTGTGCAATTCGATAAGTGAAATAATTTGACAATAAATTTAAAAATACTCCATTATACATAACGAGTTTTGAACCCCATACATATGTTTTAAGGGTTGAGAATATAGTCAAAGAAATTTGTCGAAAATGATTTGATCTCAAATGATTGATTAATCTCATCTCATCCCTCTCCTTCCCTCACCAATTATTGCTTTAACACTGGCATTTCCAGAAATTGTTTCTTCTTCCCTTCATATCACCATCACCCTTAGCTGCTGGCGTAATCAATGATTTCATTTCATGGAAACTTATGTTGGCAGCATATATGGTTATGCATCATCCACACTTTACCTTTGGCCTTATCCAATTCCCACAGGACAAAAGTTTGGATTTTGTGAAGAGATCAAGAAGAATTAGAATTTGTCTTTCAACTCCAAAAACTCTGTTATATATCTTGTCAGTGGAGTGAAGAAATTAAGCTCACTCTGTTTACGGGTTTTCTTCCACTTACAAATTTCAAACCATGGAGAATCTCTACAACTACTGCTTAATCTTCTTTTGCTGTTTGCTCTTTCTCCTTTACAAACTTTCAATCTCTAATAAGAAATTCAAGAACTTACCACCTAGCCCAAATGGTCTTCCAATTATAGGCCATCTTCACCTCATCAAGAAAGAACTCTATGAAGATTTAGCTTCATTATCGTCTAAATACGGTCCTGTTTTCTCTCTGAAATTCGGTTGTCGTTCGTTCGTCGTCGTCTCTTCTCCATCTGCCATTGAGGATTGCTTCGCAAAGAATGATATCATACTCGCAAACCGTCCTCGAATCATGGCTGCTGACAGGTTTTCTTACAACTATGTAACCATTGGAGTTGCCCCTTATGGGCATCTATGGCGGGTTCTTCGTCGTTTAGCTGTTGTTGAATCTCTATCAAATCACAGCCTCCAGAAATCATCTGCTATCAGGGAGGAAGAAATTCAAATGATTCTCCGTTCCATCTTCCGGGTTTCACAGAATGGAACCCAGAAAGTTGATTTGAATTATTGGATTTCAGTTTATACACTGAACATTGTCACCAGGATGGCTACTGGTAGATGCTCAATTAAAGAGCAGGATGTTGGGAATGAATTGGGAAAGACAAGAATTGAAGAATCTAAGAAAATGTTTGGTTCAGGTATCACACTGACCATGTGCGACTTTTTCCCAATTTTAAGGTGGATTGGTTTTAAAGGAATGGAGAAAGGGATGATTTCTTTGCACAAGAACAGAGATGCTTTCTTGCAGAGTTTAGTAGATGAAGTTCGACAAGAGAAAAAATCTGGGTTTTCTGGGATGCACAAGGAGGAGAAGGAAGCGTTGCTTAAAACACTCCTTTCTCACCAGGAAGCAGAGCCTGATTTCCTCTCAGATGATATAATCAAGAGTATAATTTTGGTAAGTTTCTAATTCTGTATTTTGGGTTCTCTATTTTTATTTATTTTTTGCTTGTAGACTGTTGTGTATCATTATGTAGCAATCGGGTTGCGACTTATTGTGTAACAATCGTATTTCGTCAGATAATGTTTACGGCAGGAAGAGAAACTTCAATCCTGACAATCGAATGGGCTTTGTCACTCTTACTGAGTCATCCAAAGGAAATGCAGAAACTCAGGACTGAAATTGACAACGTTGTAGGACACGAACGATTCCTAGAAGAATCAGATCTTCCAAAGCTTCCATATCTCCGTTGTGTAATCAATGAGACGATGAGACTATATCCTGCAGCACCCCTGCTGCTTCCTCATTATGCATCTCAAGATTGTAAAATTCAGGGATATGATATTCCAGAAGGCACAATAGTTTTAGCCAATGCTTGGGGTGTGCATAGGGATCCCAAACTGTGGGAAGAACCCGAAAAGTTTACGCCGGAGAGATTTGAGGCTAAGATCTTGGGAGAAAAAGATGAGATCAATTTCAAGTTTCTACCGTTCGGGATTGGGAGGAGAGCTTGCCCAGGAGCCAACTTGGGGATCCGGAATGTTTCTTTGGCAGTGGGTGCATTGGTTCAGTGTTTTTACTTGGCAAAAGTTGCAGATGAAGATGAGGATATGGAGGCTAGCTTTAAGAATCGAATAACTCTGCTCAAGGCTAAACCCTTGGAAGCAATGAGTTCTCCACGCCCAGAATTAATACAGCTTCTCTCCCAATCTCGGTGAAAGCAAACCTAATTGAATCAAGCACATCGCAGAGGCTACCACGAAGAATCTAATTCGATCCCTTAACTGAATCCAATGAACACGCAGATAGTGCTTCATTAATCAGACAAATGGAGAACTCTGCCGTAATGGAAGTCGGAGATGGTCTAGACAGCTACTTCAGAAACTCTTAAATGGCAGGTTTTGTCATTGTTTTTTCTGTCCCTGAAATCTTCAGCTTTGATACAGAAATAATTTTGATATCACTCAATAAATTATAAGAAATTAAGGTTTTATTGGGACATCATGCTAATTCAATAGACCTGGCTGATTCATTAGGAATAATTGTTGGCCAAAATAAAGAAATGTTTTTTGTTTAACTTGACATAAAGATACCACTCAAATTTTTATTTTATTTTATTTTAGTTTTGAAGAAGATACCTATTTGATTAGAGTAAACTACCTAAGTTAATACATTTCATACAATTATAGGTTAAATTATGTATTTCTATTACATCTAGTCTGGTCACTTTAGTCAATCTGCAAAAAGCAAAGGAAGAAATTAAAGTTTGCAATAGTAAAAGGACTTCTCGCGATTCCGATGGCATCAAATGAGATTCAAGATCACATAACAGGACCTCACAATCCGGAAACACCTGGACTCGAGTAAGACCAAGATTTGCCGCTTCCTGCAAAGCCTGTAGACATGTTGTGGCTTCTGTTTGTAGTGATGTAAGAGCGTTGATGCTCACTGTTTTAACTTGCATGACCATCCCATGGGGAGATAAAATTTTCCAAGCTTCAGTAGCTTTCCGTGTTTGATGGCTATAAGAACCATAAAAAATAACCAAAGCAGGGTTAGCAAGTCTATGTATTTTCTCCTGCATCTGTTGTCTTGTAGAGCTGTGATGTGGCTGACATTGGTGGTTGTTTGTGCCGAAAAAATCACCCTAAACCGTAAGAAAGAAAGGGATAAAATTCTCCAAAACATACAAAATCAAGCGATTGTGGATGAGTTCAAAAACCGGCCTTGAACCTAGAATCGAGGGCTTATGGTTCACTTTGGTTTGTAAATAAAGAGAAAAAGCGATAAAAAAAATGAGGGGGGAAACGAGCCTAATGGCTTCAATTCTTAATGGTGGAAAAAAAATCCTAGCGCCGGCAAACTATAGGTGGTGCCGATGACGCGCTATTACATGGAAAAAAAGAAAAGATATTAACACCGACTAGACGTAGTCGATGACACGCTATGACACAAACCAGAAAGATGGTAGCGCCGACAGAGAATACCTATCGTCGACAAGGAATGCCTATCGCTAGAACACTATTACAGAGAAAGACCGAATTCACTGTAATAGAATCCATGAACTACTACCTATTTCTATAAAGGAAAATAGGCAAATACCTATTTATGCTAGGCTACATCTAGAAAAGAACAACAAAATACATGAAGTAAAAGACTAAAAAGAAAGAAAATAAAAGACTTGATGATTTGATGATTTGAGATGTGTTGGTTGTTTTGTTCTCGGCTGCCTCCTTTTATAGTAGAAGATGGAACCGGCTGCAGCTTGGAGGAGAAGAAGTAAAATCTAAGTCCAATGCTTCCTACTTGTTTGGAGAAAAAATAGTGCTCCCATGTGATAAACTTGGTTGGCCAAACTCCATTTAAAGTAGAAAACTAATAACTAATCAATTAACCACGTGAGAGGCTTTATCAATCCAACCCAAACTCCAACTCCTTTGATTATCTTGGCCAAAATCAATCCAATACAGACTCCAAATTAATCCTCCTTAGTTAAGGACCAAACAACCAGTAAAAAGGCCAAAATTTACTTTTGGGGTCAACCATAACCCCCCGAACGTTCATATGGAATAGAATGAGATGTGAGCATTGATAAGCACATTGAAACACGGCTTGCTACAACACCTGCAATGTTGTTGATGTTGCGCCGACAACACTTGTTGCTGCACCGATGAAACCAGCTGTTGCTGCAACACTTGTTGAAACTGTGCCGACAAACCTTGAGATTGCTGCATCAACGATTCTGCTCGCTGATATTGCACCGACGGCACTTGTTGTTGCTGCGTCGACGTCTCCTTTATCCTACCTCGACCATCAACCAGCCTGTTGTGATAATGACATGTGATTACTTAACTACCAACAGCGACCAGCCTCCCGAATCTTGAGGGATCTTGCACCATAGACCCGTCACGCCGTCCGTCAATGCAACTAGATTGCTGTTTCGTGCCATGTTGATCATAAGATTGAGGAAAGCGGCCATCAAGGGTAGCCTGCCATCCGATATTATTTTCAGCCCCCAAAGAATTATGTCCTACATATGGAACTGCGGGCTGTTGAGAGATATGCCCACCAAGTGGTGATGGACTATAAGAATATAAAGATTGGGGATCACTATGCGACCTATTATATGGAGAAGAAGTACAGATCGGATCCCTAGCGCTACTAAGATCGGATCCCATAATAAAAAACGAAAGGAAGAATTTTTTTGTTTTTAGAGAAGAAAGAGAGATTTTAAAAATAGAGATTTTTAGAAGAAAAACCCACCACGATCTAGGAATCAAACCAAAGCTTGTCCCACCGGGCGTGCCATTATGTTTGTGCCGAAAAAATTACCATAAACCGTAAGAAAGAAAGGTGTAAAATTCTCCAAAACATACAAAATCAAGCGATTGTGGATGAGTTCAAAAACCAGCCTCGGACCTAAAATCGAAGGCTTATGGTTCACATTGGTTTGTAAATAAAGAGAAAAAAATGATAAAAAATGAGGGGGGAAACGAGCCTAATGGCTTCAATTCTTAATAGTGGAAAAAAACCCTAGCGCAGGCAAACTATAGGTGGTGCCGATGACGCGCTATTATATGGAAAAGAAGAAATTATATTAGCACCGACTAGACGTAATCGATGACACGCTATGATACAAACTAGAAAGATTGTAGCGCCGACAAAGAATACCTATCGCCGACAAGGAATGTCTATCGCTAGAACGCTATTACAGAAAAAGACCGAATTCACTGAAATGGAATCCATGAACTGCTACCTATTTCTATAAAGGAAAATAGGCAAACACCTATTTCTATAAAGGAAAATAGGCAAACACCTATTTATGCTAGGCTACATCTAGAAAAGAACGATAAAATACATGAAGTAAAAGACTAAAAAGAAAGAAAATAAAAGACTTGATGATTTGATGATTTGAGATGTGTTGGTTGTTGTGTTCTCGGCTGCCTCTTTTTATAGTAGAAGATAGAACCGGCTGCAGCTTGGAGGAGAAGAAGTAAAATCTAAGCCCAATGCTTCCTACTTGTTTGGAGAAAAAATAGTGCTCTCATGTGATAAACTTGGTTGGCCAAACTCTATTTAAAGTAGAAAACTAATAACTAATCAATTAACCACGTGAGAGGCTTTATCAATCCAACTCAAACTCCAACTCCTTTGATTATCTCGGCCAAAATCAATCCAATACAGACTCCAAATTAATCCTTCTCAGTTGAGGACCAAACAACCAGTGAAAAGGCCAAAATTTACTTTTGGGGCCAAACAGCAGCGCTGGATGTTCTGAAGAAGGTTAGCATCAGATGGATCAAGCTCCACGATATTGCTGGATCATGAGCCTGATGCCTCCAAATTTGATCATTCCGATCCAACCAGATACCACTCAAATTGACATCAGATCGAAGGAATCTCCTGGGTTAGTATTGCTAATAGCTCAGAGCAGCATTGCTAATAGCTCCGGAATCATGGAACGTGAAACATGGTTTCATAAGTTGGCTTCTCTCTAATTTTATACTACCTCTGTCCCGAAAAATAATCTATTAAAAAAATAGTCTACAAAATTCAAAATTCAATATGGATTGCTTTTCAGGACAGAGGGAGTATTTTCTTTTTAGCTCTCTACTTCTCAAACTCATGAATCCAAAAAGACAACCACCAGGGTTCTCCGGGAATTCCACTTTTAGCTCTATTCAAGCCACCAATTCAAAGAACTTTACCAGCTTTGTCAAGGAAATGTGCTACTCTAATTAGGAAGTGTAAATTTTTCCGTAAATTTCTTGTTATAGTCCAGCTATGAAAAGCCGGCCGCATTTTGCATAAAATAGAAAGTTTAAGGTGGTTGTTTGCAATCAAGCTACACTTTCCCGTAGGCGCTTATAGCTTACTTGAATAGCTGCCGTGTCCTTTTTGTTTGATTTGTTAATCGAGAGTGGACATTATCGAAATCAATAACCATTTGTAGAGATTCTTTTCCAAATAAATGGAAAATAAAAAAAAAAAGTTTAAGGGATTCTTTGATTAGGTTGGATGAGATAGGGTTTTTTTTTTTTTTTTTTGCCCTTTTGTCATGTCGTGCTAATGGAGTGTACTATGCAACTATCTTGTAGTATTATTGAATTGGCTTACATACGTTCTAGCTAATTGTTGAGCTTTGAGGGTTGCCGTCTAACCGTTGCTTTTTCGACCTTGCAGATATGTATTGCCGAAGGAAACTACAACAAAAGATATACCAAGATCATCTATACCGAGTCTGATTCAAAAAACCAATAATTCAGAGAATATCTCAAAGTTAAAATAGAAACTATCAAAACTCAATGGTTATATTTTTCATAGATGACGATTAACTTCTACTCGTCGGATTATAAAAAGCCGACTATATCACGGAATATTGATTCGATTATTGACAATACAAACAATCATAACATAATGTAAATGCTACACGACAAGTAGAACCTGAAAACAACGCCGATCTGTTCGTCAAAGTTATTAATAATAACTTAGTATTATATAGGTAGCTGAAGATGAATTTTAATAAAAACAGACATCCGAGTATTCAGTAAGGACCGTTGCGAGAAATCCTAGACTCGGACTAAGGTGGTAAAAAAACAAAAAATTGCTCTTGCTCACAAGGAATATGTATTTGTAATTGATTTTTTGGGCCGTTTGACATGGCTGATTTCGCGGTCTCCATTAGTTAGAGGATGGCTAACCCATGACATTACATTATTCCCTTGTATTTTGGCCTGAAATGTGTCCCCCTTTTCACAACCAGAAAAAAGAAGTGATCATTCAAGTGATCATTCAATTAAAAAAGTGTATTGAAAAAAGAAGTGATCATTCAATTAAAAGTTATGTTTGTTTCGTTTTTTAGTGTGTGTTTTTAGGGGTTTTTTTTTTTGAGAATGTAAAAAGTGTATTAAAAATATAAAAAGGTATACTAGAATGAGACAGTTATTATTATTTAATTTTGAAAAAACCATTAAAAAAGAAAACAAACAAACAAGAGTTAGTTAGCAGCTAAAATTGACTAACTAACTATTCATATCCACAAGGCTAACAAGAACTTCAGTAGCCGATCGCACATTGAAGAAGTATCACTAATGAATGAAATTGATGATAGGACACCAAACAACATTAATCACATTTTATAGGTAACTAGATGGAATAAACGCGCTTTGCGCGTAAGTGAATATTTTTCAAAATTTAGTGTAACTATATAATAATATTCTAACTCTAAAAAAACAAAAACACGCGTATACAAAATGAGCAATAGAATACAATCAAATTTTTACATAACAACCTATCCCCCAATGAAGAAAAAAGAATAGAAGAAAGAAAAATCTAAACTTAAAGTTTCATAAGAAAAGAGTAAAAATAATGGTGATTACCTTCAATGAATTTGGGATGGAAAGACAATAAAGAGCAAACAGTAAACACTTGTAAGAAAGAAAAAGATAAATATGTCAAAACTCTTATTTTTGAGAATTATATATACCGACAAATTCAAAAAAATACAAAACTCTTAGTATTCTATTTGAGTTATAGAATTATAGAATAATTTATTTAAATTCTCACTAATGAAATCTTAAAATTCAAAAAAGAGAAGAATAAAAGACATATAAAAAATTTAAAGCTAGAAAAATGCTCTAGTTGAAATCATGGCACATTAATTTGTTC